AAAGAGACGTAATTAGAAATACAGAGGGATACAAGACTGTGACATACATTACAGTAAGAAAGGAGAAATATTGCAGCTAAGGAGAGTACCTAAACAAATTCAGAATGATTGGCCAAAAGCTGAAATTAGAGGGATCAAATATAAAAATCCCAGTACTAAGAAGAGAGGAAGAGACCTAATGAGATAGTGGGATAGGAAGATTGATCATATTTTAACTTCTGGGTAAATGAGAACGACTAGTCGAAATCAGTAAAACAGGTAATATTGTAGGAAAGTTAATAGAAAAATAGTTAGGGAGCTGGAGACAGCGAGCTATAGTGTGATTAGAATCAGAAACATCTGAAAGCTGGGACAGTGCAGAAACAATAGAAGGCAGTCTATTACTCCTGCTGCTGGAACGAGAGGAATTCAGTTAGGCATTCAGAGTCTGTAACACAAGAGAAGAAACACATATACAGGCAAGGTTGCTGGAGCAGCAGCTGACAAATGCAGTTAGAAAGCAGATAGGACCTAAGAGGTCAGGAGAGCATAATAGTGCAGATACAGATTGTGTTAGTAAAGAGACAGAAAATGCATGTTTAAATTGAGAGGATATAGCTTATTACATAAGTGCACAGGACTTGTTATAAGAGCAGAAGTCATAAAAAAAGTGAGAAATTTAACAGGGACAGAAGATAAACATTCACAATGGAAGGAAATGCTAATTAATGCATCTACAGACCGAATTCCATTGTTAAGCGTATGGTTATCACTAGAGGATGAAATACCAATAACAGATAAAGTAAGATAGCAGGAGTGAGTTGGAGCTGTTTGGAGCTAAACTGTGCAGAGCTTTGAGACCACTGATTTACAAATAATAAGTTACAAAAGTAAAAAACATATTAAAAACTTCAAAGAATATATTCATTTATTTTACGTGTTCACTATGTGAGAGTGTGTGTTACTGTATCAAGCCTTTTTTAACCATGTAGCGCGCATTTTAACGCTGACACACTCCTGACAATGTTTTTCTGCAGCTTATTGGCATCAACCAGCAGGTGGCGCTAGCGTGCATTGAAATAAATGAACTACTTTTCAACACATCTGTCTGCAAAGCTTCAAAAGCTTCACGAGGCTTCATCTCGCCACCACTAGAAAGCTTCACGAGGTTTCATCCCGCCACCACTAGTGAAACGAATCTTCTTCCTCTGAGGATTAATGGTGGCGCCCCTGCTGGACTGGAGTGTAAAGCGTCGAGAGAAGGAAAATAACACACGGGGAAAATACAAAGGTGCACTGTTTTTTTTTTTCTTTAATTTTTTAGATGTTTGTAATCAAGAGTTTACACAAAGTAAACTATTTAAAATCTATTATCAACCACGTTTAGACTGTGAAATAGACTCAAATAAGTATTCAGCACATATCTGAAGACAAAAGAAGAGGTTTGTGAATTTATAATTCTGCGTATGGTATTTGACATAAAAATATGTTACAGTACGATGTATGTGGGGAAGAAAATCATATATTTTCATAAGTAAGGATTTGTCACTGGATTGAAATGATCAGTGAACGAATAAAAAAAAAAAACATACATCTGTAAATATGTCATACAATAACTAACAGACATGTGTCACAACATCAGTTAAAATGGACTATACAACATTTAAAAAGCCTTCTGTAAACAGTTTAATGCAACAATTAGATGAATCAAGGTTAACCACATACTGTATTATATGTATATGCAGCAAATATCCTTGAAAGCTGCATGCAAATATTCATAATATCATTGAGATGAAGATAAATCTTGCTGTAATTTGTTATTTGTAGCGAGTATTTATTCTAATATTGTATTCATCACTATTTCCTCTGGTGCTGCGAGTCCTTCCTCCCTGCAAAATAATTCAACACAAAATCATCACTGAGCTCTCAGATTATTAAAGATCAATGTGAATCATCTGAAAAACTCACCAGCTCTTCTTGCACAGACGATCTGAAGAAGAATCACAGTAGGAGCAGCAAACGCTGCAAACTCAACAATAATCACAATAACTGCAGGAAAGATGATGATAGACACAATCAGGAGAAAGAACCGACCCAATCCGTGAAACTGGGAGTGAAATCAAAG